TAACACAAAGCCTAAGATATCCTCCCAGCCATTGGTCTGTACTCAAACTCTTCTACCAGCTGTGGAAAAGAAGACACTTTTCCCACTACCTTCTCTCCCTAACACTGCATAGACTGGAGGCATTTCAATGTGCAGGCTGACAAGCAGCATTTACATGGAGCCCACTAATAATTTTCTGCAAATTTATTCTTGCTGGAGACCTCAGCTGGTTTTCCCATTCCCAACTCGAGATGATGATCACTTTTGCAAGCAGAAAAGACACCAGCAAATGTCACCCAAAAGCATGACTGACCCTGGCTGGGCCCAACACTTGCATATAAGCACTGACAAGAGTGTTTCTCAGCCACGGAGTTTCATGGTTAATCAAATACCAATGGGATTTATTTAACCTGGCTGGTCCAACACCTATTTAACCATCAAGAAGCAATAAAGGACTGACAACCATGGAAGCCATGCTGAAGAACATCTAGGGTGTTAATTATAGCCCAGTCTTCAATACCTAATAGGCTTGGGGCACAGGTTGATGAGCTTCATCTCTAAAGCTCCCTCATTTGGGTAAAAGTGAGAAAAATACTTACCAGCATCATCAAATACTCATCTTTGTTTGGAGATGAAGGTGCTTAATCAATTGTAATTGCAAAATCTGTTAAAGAATTTAAAGCACGTAAAAATGTTATTTACTCCCAGGTCTTCTAACAAGCTGAGGGAAAAAAAAAAAGATAGAGAGGCTAAATATCATCCTAGAATCTGTCGAGGTCACTCACTCATTTGAAAATCAGTAATAAAAAAAAAGAAGCTAAGAACCCTGCTTTCACAGAGGAGTTGACAGATGTTACAGCTGGTACAGGGTCCCAAACTGGGACTGTCCCCAACTGGCTGCTTTGGGGAGCTCTCTGGGAGCCCACAGGTGGGTTTGGTTCAGGTTGAGCTGAAGTGCCACCCATCTGGTCAAGCATAAAGGGTGTCTCCTAGTTCCCAAGATGACACTGGTGATATCTTCTGTTCTACAAGATCAGAGTCTGCCTATTCCCATGTCTCTACAGCTCTTCTCTGCACATAATTAATCCACTGCAGCTCATCATTGCTTATCTGGAAACAAAACATAAACACGAAGCAGAAACCATCTCTGAGAGACCTCCAACTTTTTGCAAGTCACAATTCATCCATTTTTACACTTGAACACCCAGCATGTTCAGCTTCCCTCTGCCATCGCTGGGGTGTGAACCACTAACCCCAGCATTTGGATAGATCCAAGGCCCAGTGATGATGATTATTCCACAAGACAAGGACATTAAAATGAGGTTTAGACTTATTCTTATTTGCATTCATCCACATTTCAGTACAGGGTGAGCAATGTGATCCTCAGGGTGGCCCAGGAGCTGCTCCCTTCAAACCCCTCAATGCATTTACCCAGGTTATTGCAGCTGCCTTGTCTGAAAAGCTCTCACATAAAACCCAACAGCAGTTAGAATTATAGAGTCACAGACTGGTTTGGGTTGGAAGGGACCTTCAAGATCATCTAGTTTCAACCCCTCTGGACACCTCCCATTAGACCAGGTAGCTCAAAATTCTTCCTCCCACTTTCTCAGACTCTGCATCAACTAGAAGATGAGATTTTCTCCTTCCTCCCTTTTCCTTGTGGTACAATTGCCTCCAATAAAGATTTTCCTCAGATTAAAACATATTGGGTCAACACTAAACTTAAAAAACCACCCCATTTCTCCCAGCCCCTTCATTGCATTAACAGCATCCACCAGGGATCATGGAGGCCAGACTGTGGCTACTAAAATCATTCATCACAAAGAACTATTTTTTAAAAAATCTTTACCTGGCCTTCCCTCCACTGCAAGAGGAGCCAGGCAGTTTTTCTGACAGCTGACACTATGCTGCATCCTTTCAGTTCTGCTTCAGTGCCTGCCTGCAGGCCATGGTGTGGTAGAACCAACTCCTCAGCTGCCACATCCTTCCAGCCAACTCCAGTTTCCCCCAGTGCAAACCTGATTTAAAGCAAGGGGGTAAAGCACCAAAAAGACCAGACAGACAAGTCTTTGTGTCACTTCCAGAGCTGAAACATGGCTTTTTTTTTCTCCACACAGGGCTAAAAGCCACCTCTCAGGCTGTCCTCAGGCTTTACGCATGAGCCCGGAGGTGCAGGGACGTCCTGAGAGCTCCTGTGGGGCATCTTCACCATCCACAGCCTCACAGGCAGCTTCTCACACAAAGCCACCCTTGAACCTTCCCCACAGCAACGAAAAGGCCTTTTCCTTCTCTCTACCTTTAGTTTCCCAACCTTTCTTTGCTTCCTGACATCTTGTTTACCCTCCAGGTGGCCTCCCAGAGGCTGCTGCCCTCCTCCCCTGCTCTGGAACTCAGTCATGCCCTTCCTTCCACACGCATCCACCTCAGCCCACCACCCAGGCTCCCTCCTGCTGCTGCTCCTCCTGCTTTTCCTGGGTGGCTGGGTGACCCCTGGCAGCCCAACACCTGCACCCAGGGCAGTTCCCATCAATGACCACCTGGGATGTGGCTCTTTGTGCCCTCCAGTCTGTTTTCATGGTCCAAGCTGAGGGACACGAAGCTCATGGTGCTACCTGTGGCTTTCTACAGTGACCACTTTCCCCAGCACCACCATGGGATTTATCTAACCAAAGCACAAAGCACAACAAACTAGCTTGATCTAGCATTGATTTAGCCGCCTACTGAAAAATTGTGCTTCAAAGGGGATCATTGCTGTGATTTCTCACTCAGCCTATACACAGGCATCAGAAACCAGCCTGGATTTTCCAGCCCTTGCTTGAAGCAGGTGCTGCTGGGGAGTTAGACCATCTTTTGATCACTTCAAGGATCATCTGTTGGCTTCACAAGCAGCAGAAAGGGACACACAGGCTGGCTCCTCAGAAATGTTGTGAAAAAGAGGATGTTCACTTTCTCCTTCCTCCAGAACATTACAGCTGATTTAAGGAGAGTTATCTCAAGTTTCATAAGCCCATGAAAATTATATATTCCTTGGAGTAAACCAGGAGACAACCTTATGTCCTTAGGAAGGTAGACCTGGATTTCTTAGAGGAAATGTGTTTGTTCTGGTTTTCTTATGGCATTCAGAAGAAAGGACTGGGCTACACAGACTCCAGACATAAGAGGCTGAAACTAAAAGCAGATCTGACCTGTGGCATCAGGATGTTCCTGCTGTGGAAAAAACCACCACAAAATCACAACATCTGTGGGGTGGAACTTCATACAAGGACTAAGAGAAGCCCTGGTGATGCCAGTGCTCACACTGCACTTATTTTCAGCAAGACAAATGACAAGATAGGGATGGTCTGATTGCACCCCCAAAAGCTTAATTTCTAATGTATTTTGTTCACAGGTGAAAATAAGTTATTGCAGGCAATGACCATGATGTTGCTGTGACTGATGGCAAGGTTAGAAAAAGTAACTTTTTTAGACCTATGTCAGCAGAAAATAATGCTCTCCAACCCCACTAACTTTTCTGTGAAAAGGTACCATTTAATCCTTTGGTTTTGCTCCATTTGATTTCTTAACACCAGCATTTTCATTCATGTATTAATACAGGGAAGAAAAAAACCAACCAACCAAGAATAAGATCAACAACTGACACACTCCTTGCTAACATGACCTAAACTATTTTATCCCCAAAGAGATTTAGAAGGAAAGCATCCTTAAAAATGAGCATTTCATGTACTAAACTGATTTTTAGCTGAGCTTGAGCCAGGTACTGGAACACAGCTAGACTTCGATGGCTACACTTCTATGTCATCTCTGAGCCACAGAACATCTCCATGGAGCTCCTGGTCCTCTCCAGAGAAACCCCTTATCCTCATAAAAGGCCACCCTGCCTGGCCAAGTATTTCTATGCCATTCTTATTGCTTTTTAAAAAAATTCATCACTGGAAATAAGCATAGGTGAAACTCCAGAGCACAAGAAAAGGCCAGGAGATGGGATGTCAACTCAGCCAAGAGCTGAGTGTGGCAGGACTCTGCTGTCACATCCAGGTAGCTGGTGGTGCCCCAGCTTTGACAAACTCCTCAGCCCTGGTCCCAGCTGAGCTCTGGCAGAGCCACACTTGTGCCCTGGGTACTGGTCCCACCTTCCTGACCCCTCTTGCCCTGTTCCACCCCTAAAGCCCTGCCTGCAGGACACAGGACTGTGCTCACCCTGTGGGACAACCCCACTTTGGGACTCCAAACAACATCATCACTGGCATTTAGTTCTCATAAACATATGTATATGCTATTTTTATAATTCTACCAAATGCATTTTATAGATTAAATAATTGCTGCTCCTGTTTCTGTCAGTAATAGCAGTATTAGCATTATTATATTTTATCTAAGTCCCTTTCTTCTCCAACACTAACTGGAGAGAAACCAATTTCAAGTTGAATCTCAGACTCACAGACTGGTTTGGGTTGGAAGGGACCTTAAAGACCATCTATTCCCAACCCCCCTGCATGGGCAGGGACACCTCCCACCAGCCCAGGTTGCTCCAAGCCCCATCCAACCTGCCCTTCAACACTGCCAGGGATGGGGCAGCCACAGCTTCCCTGGGCAACCTGGGCCAGGGTCTCACCACCCTCACAGTGAAGAATTTCTTCCCCAGATCTCCTTTCAAACTCTCCTTTTCCACTTTGAAACCTCTCCAGAGACTTGCAATTCGTGCCCAAGAGGCACGGAGGTGCTTCTTTCTACAACAATTTACAAACCAGAGTTTTCCCTAGACAGGGTGTTTTGGTTTGGTTTTGCTTGTTTTTTCTAGGGGTATTTTCTCAAATAAGGTCACTTCAAATGACTCATATCAAAGCTTTTCCTCTTACACCTCAGCAAGACCCTCCCTGGGGCAGGAGGACACAACTTGCAGACAAAGAAACCAGCAAACAAATAGAAGGAGACGAGAAAGAAACAAATCACTCAGAAAAGAGGTCAAAAGAGGAGGATGGCAGATTCACTGTCATTTGTTTGGAGAAAGTAAACAAGAGCCATACCTTTTTAAAAATTCCATATACTCAGTATGCTTGATGAGGCCTGTCCTCATCATTATTGTTTGAAAACATTGTCGATCAATAGCCCAAAGTTTCACATTTACGAGAGCTGGAAAACAAAACAAACAACAAGGGGAAAATTAGCAAAATGTCTACAACTTGAAAACCCTGTTGCCAGCTGCAGAGGCCAACATGTTCATTCATGGGAAAGCATGAAATTGGGTACAATACAGTTCAGAACAGGGACTTAAAACTCATCCTCTGGACAATGGACTAAGCATGCACTGAAATGATCCCAAGTATTTCCAGGTTTAGGTTGTGTGCTTTGGGGAAGGTGGCCCCAAAGGCAGCTGTGAGGTGAGAAGAAGTCAATGCAGGCTGAGAGCAAGCAAGGAACAGGGGCAGCTAATCACAACCTGGGACACACCACTGCCTGTGGCAGCCAGTGACAGGGGCAGGTTTTAGGTCATGATCCTGTTTCCAAACCAGCCAAATCTATTCAGGTTTCATCCTACTCCCAAAGGAGATGACAAGTTTCTCCTTGACCTTGAGAGGTTTTGCAGAACCGAGTCCTCTCATACCCTAATGACTGAACATGTCCCAGTGCTGGATGTTCTGGGTAATTGGTTTCCAATTTTAGTTTTCAGGTCTCTGATAATCACAGCATGTCAGGGTTTGGAAGGGACCCCAGGAGATCATTAAGTCCAACTCCCCTGCCAGAGCAGGACCAAAACTAGGGCAGGTCACTCAGAAAGGCATCCAGACAGGGCTGGAAAGTCTCCAGAGAAGGAGCCTCCACAGCCTCTCTGGGCAGCCTGGCCCAGGGCTCTGTCACCCTCACAGGAAAGAAGCTCTTCCTCCTGTTGAGGTGGAACTTCCTGGGCTCCAGTTTGAATCCATTGCCCCTTGTCCTGTCCCAGGGCACAAGTGACAAGAGCTTGTCCTGCCTTCTTGATGCCCTCATGTATTGATAGACATTAATGAGATCCCCCCTCAGTCTTCTCCTCTCTAGACTGAGCAGCCCCAGGTCTCTCAGCCTTTCCTCATCAGGCAGGTGTTCCAGTCTCTTCATCATCCTCGTGGCCTCCCTTGGACTCTCTCCAGTAGATCCCTGTCCCTCTGAAACTGGGGAGCCCAGAACTGGACACAACACTCCAAGTGGGGTCTCACTAGGGCTGAGCAGAGAGGGATGAGAACCTCCCTTGACCTGCTGGACACACTCCTCCTGATGTACCTCAAGATACCAGTGGCCTCCTTGGCCACAAGGGTACATTGTTGTCCCATGGAGAACTTGTTGTTCCTTCTCCACAGAGCTGCTGTCCAGCTGGGAGGTGACCTCCCAGCTTCTACTGGTGCATTTTGTTGTTCCTTCCCAGGTGCAAGACTCTGCACTTGCTCTTCTTGAACCTCATTATGTTCCTCTTTGCCCAGCTCTCCACCCTAGACTTCAGTGCTAGGCACCTATTTCAGAAGCCAAGCCCCAGTGTAAACCCAAACAGCAGATCTCCATTGCCTAAAGATGCTCAGAGAAAACAGGATCTTATAAATCACATGAGCAGAATTCCAAATAGTTCAGACTTTCATCTCAGATGTGGCTTAATACATTTGCATTAACTATACATGTTTGCATATACAATTTCCAAGAGTTTCTCCTCAGAGGAACAGCTAAAAATTGAAAGTACTCTTAATGACCTCTGCACTTAGTATTAAGGGTTTTTTTGCAGAGTAATTGCAATCATTTCCAACCCCACATCCCCCCTTTGCTACAGGAAACAGAAATGAGCCAAGAGACTTCCAGCAAAATATTTACAAATATTCTCCAAATAAAAGTCCAAGTGATTACTTTGCTTTTATCTGCTGGTCCTTCAGTTCCCAAACCCCCAGGTTAATGGGGTTTTATCTCTAACCGCATTTGCAGGCTGTAAAACCTTCAGATTGCAAATTCAGAGCTTCCTTCTCAAATCCCAGGGCAGGACATCACATCATTTAAAGCCTCTTCTCCTTTTCAAGATAGAAATTCCTTTCTGAGAAGTGTTTTTAGCTGTATAATCAAACTGATGGGAAGGAATGACCTGCAACTTTATCACGAGAGATTTCAGTTAAAAAAAACCAAAATCAGTCTTTCTTCAGAATGGAAGAGACAATTAATATGAATAGGATGTCTCATATTTTGGCTTTTTTACAACATAAAGGTTTTAATTGGTTTTTAGATGAGCTCTGCTCTAGAGAAAGGAATGAAGATTATTCAACAGGGGGTGTGTGGGAGGGAATCACTGAAAAGGACCATCTCCTGCTGGACTGGCTGATGCTGAGGGTTGGTATCAAGTCAATCAAAACTCAGAAAAACCCCAGTAGATTCACCCAGAACAGGAAAACATCCTGTTGTCAAGTAGCTGCCTTCACTCTCAGGGGAGGAAAGCAGTGGATTTTACCCATCCTGCCCATTTCAGGAAAGGGAAAAAGGCAGCTCTAAGTCAGGAATGGCAAACCCAGTGAGACCTGAATGTGTAAATAACATGTGTAAATGAATATGAAAATAATGAAATACAGGCTGGGTTTTTTTTTTCCTTTGGACTAAAATATCCAACAGCATCCCAGAGCCCCACCATGAACACCTGCCAGGAACACATATTATTCATTCCTAAGCATTTTTCCCAGAGCATGCCCATCCTTCAGAGCAATATTCAAGTTTTCCCTCTATTTCTTTCATACAGTTTTGACAGCATTAACTCCTAAGCTGACATCACTAGCTTAGTAAGCTCAGGTGACAGCAAATCCTCAAATTCACTTGGTTTTTTTCTACTGTCTGATTGTAGTTCCCCAAGACAGGGCATCCTTGCTATCAAGAATTCTGACTGCTGCTGCTTCCCAATGTATTTTAACAGACTCATCCCCTTATGCAAACCAGTAGCTCTGAAGAAGAAAAGGTTTCATCCTCTGGGATGGTTTCAAGCCAGCTGGTCCTGAATGGACACATCCCATCAGCATCTGGGACCACATTCCCATTGGAATCTGTCACAGTGCTCAAAAGCATGGCCTGTGGGTGGCACTGGCCCCATCCTTGGCACTTCAGATTCATTTAGAGGTCTCAAACCAGTGACTGACAGTGACCAGCTCACTCTTATTTTCCACATACGTAGTGGACAATGAAGGTGGATTTTCCCTCCTGCAATGGGTTCAGGTACAGCTGCAGAGATCCCACCTATCTCTGAGGTCCACATGGGGACCAGGGAGCCACAAGACCCACTGCTACACAGCCCCTGCCAGGAATGTTCTCAGTCCATGCACTCAGGGAACTGACAAATGTGACTTGGTAGCTCCTGAGCCAAATGAAAATCCATTTATTGCTGCTGGAAGTGGTTCTAAGGAAACAATGCTCAAATCAATACAGATCTCCATAGGAGCACTGGACCAAAGGCTGGTTGAGCCAGCCTAGAACAAGTCACATTCCCCTGGAGCTACCCCAGGAAACCAAGTGGTACAGATACACACAACTCTGCTTCTATGGAAGAATCACTGAATCGTTTTGGTTGGAAAAGACCTTTCAGATCATCAAGTCTGACCACTAACCTAGCTCTACCAAAGCCACCCCTAACCCATGTCCCTCAGCACCACAGCTTTTAGACACTTCCAGGGATGGGGATTCAACCACCTCCCTGGGCAGCCTGGGCCAAGGCCTTCCCTTTCAGTGAAGCTTATTTGAATATCCAACCTCAACCTCCCCTGGCACAACTTGAGGCCATTTCCTCTTCTCCTACCACTTTTCACTCGGGAGCAGAGCCCGACCCCCCTGGCTCCAACCTCCCCTCAGGCAGCTGCAGAGCCAGCAGGTCTCCCCTCAGCCTCCTTTGCTCCAGGCTGGACACCCCCAGCTCCCTCAGCTGCTCCTCACAAGTTCTCCAGACCCTTCTCGTTCTGCTCCAGCCCCTTCCCCAGCTCCCTGGCCCTTCTCTGGACACGCTCCAGCCCCTCCATGTCCTTCTTGTCCTGAGGGGCCCAGAACTGACCCCAGGATTCCAGGTGCAGCCTCATATGACATAAATCCACACACACATCCCATACATAATTTATGCTTTATATATACATATTATATGTAATTATATAACATTTTATTAACTACTATATGGTGCATATGTGAGTATCTCCCTGAGTATCCCCTCTAATTCCACACCCAACCGCACACCAGCCCCCTCACACAGCTCAGGAAAAGTGAAGTGAAGCCAATGCACTTCTGTACTGCTAATTATAATCACTCCTCATACTTTATGTTCACATTTCTCCTGTCTAATGATAAACAGCTGCTTAATAATGGCTAATCACAGTAGAGCCTTAAATGTCACCACAACCCCTATAATCAGGTATTAACATTATCTCCTGTTATGCTTCACATCCACTGTAAATGTGTCAAGAGGGTTACTGAAGGAACAGTCTGAATTCTGTTAGATTTAACAACATTAACAACTTCAAAGACATGTATTTATGAGTGCCCCAGGATGAAAAATATGTATATGGGGATGAAAAATATGTATATGGGGATGAATACCACAAAGTCAAATCTGCTGTGGATAACTGAGTTATAACAGACACAGACAGAGGTGATGCTGAGATTTTCTTGTCCATCCCTCTGCAAAAGGGAGGAGGGAAAACCTTCTGTGAAGTGTGATTTCAGGACTTACTCCTGACTGCCAGAACTCCAACCATATGATCCCTAGCAGTGTGCAAACAGGCGTGTGTGCGCATCTCTCTGCAAAGGGAGTTCCCTAAGACTACTCAGTAATCCAAAACCTGGTAGTGTAAAATAAATATCGTCATATTCACTCCTCCCTCTCTCCAGGCCAGGGGTAAAAAAACAGGGATGGTCAGAACTGGGACCTCAAGCAATTGATTATCTGAGGCAGGTCTCCAGGGGAGGGTCTCAGATGATGCTGGGTGCACTTTCATTGCCTGGCAGAGATGAGCAATCCCATCAAAATGAGGATTTGGGGTGAGGTCCCAACTAAACCCCTGGATAATGAGATACATACAGTGAAAGCACTGAATGGTGAATTTAACTTCAGCCAAGGCTCAACTTCTTATGCTTTCTGGCAATTTTTTCTTGGAGAAATGGAT